TAATTAATGAAGAAGGTAAGCGTGTATTAAAAAATACTAAAGTTATAGGTAAGTGGAAGGATGAAAATGGAGGAGATAGAGCTATTGGCTATGCAGGAGTTCGTGCAAAATGCTATAGCGTTGTATGTGAAAATTCACGAAAAAATATGATCAAGGCTAAAGGTCTCAAAAAGTCTCTTATCAAGAAAGAGCTTACCCATAAAATATTCGAGGACTGTGTTTTAGAAGGAAAAGAGGATCAGCCACGAACTGCACAATTCCTCCGAAGTTACAGACATCGCATGTATAGAATAAAGCAAACAAAGAGAAGTGTTAATCCACTAGATACGAAATTATGGATAGCTCGTGATATGGAAACGACATATTTATATGGTGATTGTGAAATTCCGGAAGAATAAAAAATAAATTATATAGAGCGATCATTGGAAAATTTTACTATTTTTTTATTGTAGAACAATGGCTCTTTAAGCCTACGCAATGTAACTTACAATGACCAAATTCTTCATCAATACAACAATGATTTCTACAACAACCTTGTTTATTTAGTATATGTTTTTCACAATAACTTCCTAAATTAGGATCATGAAATAATTTATTACATTCCCGACATTTATCAAAGTAATCTAGAAATTTACTTTTATTAAGTTTTTTTACTATATTTTTTATATAACGAAATTCGCTTGTTTTTTCATAATCTAAAGGTATATCATCACCTGTATCAAAGTGCACTACCGAAATTAATTTTTTAGGGGTATTAATTTGATCCATAGTATTTTATAAATATTTTATATTATTTTATAGATATTCTAAATATTCCATATTTCTTTTTTCCGAATATCACGTTACAATGAGGGAGCGATGTCATGTGTTTTATTTCAAAGGAATGGCTCTTTGAGCCTAAATCCGCGAATCAAAGATCAGCGTAGAAGTATTTCGGAGAAATGACACTCCGTGTCTCGTGAAACATGCATAGCCAGCGATGTAAAGACAGTTTATTGAGATTGATAATGCGTAACATATCCGAAAAAATAGTGAATATCAAGTTGAATTGGTCGGGCCTCTACGAGGCATGACATTAATATTCGAAATCACTATCTCCGTTACTATTTGGATTGAATTTTGACCTCCCAGCATTTGAGACTATTACTATAAGTTTTTGTATTAACATAATTACTAATTTGCAATGTGCATACTAATTACTATAACCAAATCAATGACGTTTTTTCTTATTTTTCTTATTTTTCTTGTTCTTCGTAAATTGGCAAAGGCTGTAATTTTCTGGTAAACCTTAAAGAAAAGAACACAGTTATAAAAGGTTAAAATAAAATCTATGCAAAAATACATACACATACCTTCACCGAGCTCATCTTTCAATTCGTGAGTGCGCGTATACACACATTTTTCGGACTCATATAGAGTTCTTTCATCCAATACGTGCCATGGCACCGATAAAACACCACGATTATTTGTCATCTTTTCGAAATAATCACCGCCAAACCATAATATGTTATTAGTATTGTCCAAATCAAACACGCGACCGTAGCAATCTAGGAAAAGCATTCCACAGTAACGTTGCCCAACGATAATGATATGATTGAAACCATATCCTCTAACTTCCTCAATATAACAGATAAGATCATCTTTCACATAATGTATAGCATCTTGAGGAGTTTCGATATGGAGGTCAAGGCCAAGAGAAATTGCAACACGAGAACTATTGGATGAGTCCACAATTTCGACTACAATGGGCGGATTATACGAGGAGCCAGTGAATTTATCACCAACTGACACTTGACACAGAGAGGCACCGTTTTCCTGCTTTTCAGATTGATTGTCCGGGAATACAAGACAGCACGGCGTCTTTGGGGTTTCCATTGTCCACACAGAGTTGCAATAGGAACCAATTCGGAGCAATTGCCCCAGGCTTGTCTGCATTTTTCGAATTCCTGATCGGTTGGGACATTCGAAAACAATCTCGGCATCAGTCTTACTCTTGTTTCTGCTATCTGTTTGTTGATCGATTCTACCCCTTTGCCTGTCCCACAGCGAATCGAAGCACCGAAGAGGTATTTTAGAATCTTTCCTCTCCGTTTCGAAATCGTGAGGTTCACTGCGGATGGACGAGCTCGCACAGTCTCCTCCATTTTGAAAATCTGTTCGGCGAGAAGCTCCAACTTTTTCATCAAATATGTCATCTGGTTTTGCGATCCCGTTCTCGGAGGGAAATTTATATAGTGTGTCCATAGTAAGCATATGACGTCCCATACTGTAATCACCAGGATTGGTCCAAGGTGAGGCACAACTATCACTTTTCCCGCTGTGCCATACGGGATTACCAGTCTCTGATATCTACGTAAGAACGGTTTCATTGAGATTTTTGCATGAAAAGAAGAACCTTTGAATTTTTCAGTGCAAACAAAATAATACAACACCTGAAAGAATCTATGAACTCCGTTTTCAGATTTCTCATCCATGGCTCTTTGAGATTGTTTAACCACCTGAAATGCTGTTCTATTGGTTCTTCAAGTTCCTGTAACCACCTATATAGACTTGAAAGTACAAAAATGGTGTGTAAAACATTCAACACTTATTTAGTTAACAGCAGTGGGAAATCCTTACTTAAAAGTTCTTTCTTCGTCTTCCATATAACAGACGCGTACAGATCAGTACATCGTCATGCTGATATCATGTACATTCATATGATTATATTCTTGTGTCATGCATATGCAACCCAATCAGCTCGTCAGTAAATGTGGCGTAATCTTTTTCTGTCAATGTATCGGTTTCACAATGCCATGTACTATGTTACTTTTCGGCATGCATGAAGTTCCATGACCTTCGATTTTCTTTTGTGGTATAGCATGTGATACGTTAATCGATTATCTGTATTATGCAATCAATTTTTCAGGCATATCGGCATTGAATCGTAAACCTTAATATAGGTTTGTCTATTACTATATAGACGCATTAATAATTTTATTATAAGCGTGTTATTGTATAAAGATGTTTACAATCATAAGATTTGGTGACAAAACGATAACGAATTAAACGAAAATAAAGGAGAAAATTGTTTATTATAACGCCCAATAGTCTATTGAACACCTAATAGTCGATTGAAACACTAGCTGTGGCATCAAGCACAAATAGAGCCTCGCCACGGTTAAATAACTTATAATATTTATTGTTATTATCCCTAGCTTTTGTCTCTATCCCTGGCTTTTGTCTCTATCCTTTAATAGGATATAATGCGATCGATGATTGGTCAATCGTTTTACAATAGTTAC